TACATGAATCTCAATAAACATATTACATAACTCCTCAGCACACACACAAAAATAAACAGCCACTTCCCCCACTCTATCCCGGGTGTGCATATGGGTACGCGGATAATCTTCACCTCTGCAGATGTGCTGCCCTCCAGCGGCAACTGTTTCTAGCGGCTAACCCCATTCTACTGAGTGTAGGGAAGTGGTGAGTGTATTATCCTGAGTGTGGGAAGGGGCCACTGCATGCAGTTTGCGCAGCATCCCGCCACAATCATTTTCCTATGCCAATGCAGGCCCGTAGCCAGGGGGGGTTCGGGGGGTTCGAACGAACGCGCAGAAAACGCATCTGAGGGGGTGTAATTTTAAAAAATTTCTGGAGGAGGGCACCCCAGACCCCCCCTTCGCGTGCTCGCAACTTTGGGTTACGGTTAGACCCCCCACTGGTACAAATCCTGTTCACGCCCCTGCCGAGAAAATTGCCAACATTGAAAAACGAACCCCCCCCCCCCAATAGAAAGCTGGCTACGGGCCTGCCAATGTACACGGGGATTGGAATGGCGCTCGCGTTCCTGGTCGCGTTTCCAGCCAAGATAACTTCTCTCGATCAAACTTACGCGCTCAAAATGGGCAGAGATTGTTCGGGAGAGATGTGCATGGCAAATTTCGCTCTAAACATTTCACTTTGGCCGCAGTATCTTGCCACAATATTTTTCCTATGCCAATGTACATAGGTAATTTACCATCATGGGCAGGGTCAGGGGATTTGACCATGCACACCTCATTTTTAAGCGCGTAAAAAAATTGTTTGGGTGGCTGCGGGGACGAGCGACCCGCGCGATCGTTCATACGCCATTTTAATAACGGCAATGAATGGCGGCGGAGTGCTGATACCGAAGTGATTTCTGAGATAAAATTTTACCATGCACACCTTCTTTGGCCATGTCATTGTCCCTTTGAAGGGTTCAACAACAACGTGAATTACAACGTTACGTTAATCCAAGATACGCGCGCACGTGCCTTCACTGCCTTGACACAGACCACACGTGCACACACAGACACGCACGCACATACAGATTGCACGCACGCACCCACGCACACACAGATTACACGCATGCACCCACGCACCTACGCACACACAGATTGCACGCACGTACCCACGCACACACAAATTGCACGCATGCAATCACGCACCCACAGATTGCACGCACCCACGCAGATTGCACGCACGCACGAACCCACCCGCGCAGATTGCACGCACGCACGAACCCACCCACGCAGATTGCACGCACGCACGAACCCACGCAGATTGCACGCCCGCGCGCACCCACGCAGATTGCACGCCCGCACGTACGCACCCAACCACGCAGATTGCACGCCCGCACGCACCCACTCTAGTCAAGCAAGCAAAAATAATCACTTGCCATTAATTAAGCCGCAATCACACGAAACTGTACACTGTCCACACACACACACACACACACACACGTGTGTTAACACATAACACACACACACGCACGCACGCACGCACGCACACACACACACACACACACACACACACACACACACACACACACGTATGTTCAGTATAACCCCTTTCTACTAGTAGTCTGGGATAAATATCCAGAAATGTGCATGTAAAAAGTCCAGTAGGCATTTTTGAGAAAAAAGGGCCAAATAACTTTTTCTAGAGTGGTTTTTCATGCTGAATACGAATAATTTGTTTGGACATCTCTATTTTGCCTAATTAGGTCAGAAATCAAGGTCAAAGGTCAATAATTAGGTCATATACTATATTTGACCAAAAATGTACATAATCATGTGCTCTAATAGAATAATGAAATTTTTTTTTTAAACTACTCACCACTAGGGTATGGTAAGCAATTGAATTTGACAATTTAATAGAAAATGTTAAGAAGATTTATCACAAAATAGCTCATATCTCCTTTATTACTCAACATTCCACAAAATCATCACAAGCTCACGGATACATTTCTGTGGCCATTAACTTTGCTGGGATTAACAGTAGATACTGTTTCCAACACCTTTTGGACCGTTTCGAATGTAAATGTGATGTCTTGTAAAAGAAACAATGCGTACAAGCGAACAATGCGAATGGAACAACGAGTGCATACACAACATGCACACAACCCTGCAAGGAATGGAGTCTATTGCTGAATTCTAGTCTTGTTTTATTTTTATTGCTGCTCTCAATGTAACTTTTTTATTTTTATTTATTTATTTAGGCAATTATTATAGCACACTTTTACATAAAATTCTGAATTCATAAAATTGGATAACTACCAAGGATATATACACAAAAAGCATGACTAGCACACTTATTTACATTGTGGTCCTTGATTTGCTATGCCTTGAATCTAACAATTACACTACTATCAGCACTAAACTACTGAAATATACAAATTTGTAGTTTTAACCAGTTATATAAAACAAGAATAAACAGAATTTGTTCTAACTTGCTATGGTAGAGAGTTCCAAGCTTCAATTGCAGTATAAGTAAGAGTTTTCCCACTGCTTCCCACCCTCGGTTTAAAAATAGACATCTCACCTTCCCTTGTATTGAAACTATGGACTTCTCGTCCACTTGTATAGACCACTCGTCCATACTACTCTTGTATGGAAACTATGAAACCTTCTGTCATATTCTGTGGGCCGAGATTATGTAATATTATAAAAACCCTATTGACCTTCAGTTGCATTACACTGAACTCTACAGGTACCCAATTTACAGCCTTGAACTCTCTAGCACCTATGTGTGCTCTAGCAAGCCCCTAGCCAGGGGGGGGGGGTTCGGGGGTTTGAACGAATTCCCCCCCCCGA